AATCCTATCCAACATTTAAACTGGTGATATAATGTATGCTGGCTGACAATGCATCCTTTTTCAGTGTGGGGGTCAGGGTCCTTCTCTTCATACTGACCCATTTACGTCACTGTGTGTGAAGCCGTTACAAGAGTGATTGTAAAGATAGACATGTTAAGTTAGTGACTGTTGGACTCAGTAATGATTCAGTCTTTGCAGGTAAGTGCTGCATGAGTTTGTCACTGATTCTGATCCTTGTGTGAACAAAGTCAACAGAGACGGTCTGATGTCATGTTGCAGGCCGGACGTTTCTGATGTTTTGCATGTCGACCAGAAAACTGAATGTGTGCAAAACAAGAAATGTTTTAGCTAAGAGATTTTTAATGTTGTTTTCAGTAAAAGAAAAGTATTTTGTGAAATTACATTTATTTAGTTTGTCTAGTTTATTTTGTGAACTAGAAAGATTTGTGGTCCTGCTGCGGCGAGCTACAGTTAGCTATGGTTAGCTACCTAAAGGGTTTGCACAATTGTTTAAATATACAAATAACAACAACAGTTACAGCTGAGGATATTTAATGCTCACAAGCATTAGATTAATAGTTTGTGAACAAGAAGCAGGGTCAGTGATATTGTGGTTACTTTCCCCATCCATTAGCATTTCGTTACTAAAACAGACATGCTAACAGACATGCTAATGCAAAATATCCACCTTCATTTTTACGTACAGTTTAAATGTTGGCTGTACAAACCTTGGTATTTCTGTATTGACTTTGCTGAGAGTAAAACACCTTTATATTACTTGACTGTTTCTAAGCTGCCTTTGAGCAAGGCACCAAACCCTGATAGCCTAGCTGTGCTGAACAACACTGACTTTGTGTTCAGCCTGCAGAGCCGTCAGCTGTCCCCTGTTGAACAAAGGTTTGAAAATGGTTAAAAAACAAACTGCACTTCTGACGTGCCCCACTGTTTTTGTGTGCGTTTGTTTTGTATTACAGCAGCAAGAAGGGAGCCGCCGCCCGCCGCAGAAAGTAGACTGGCCCGTCCCGCCTCTGCTCAGAAACCAAACTGCGATTGTCTCGGACACACGCCTGATGAAGCAACGCACACGGTGGCGGAGGTCGTGGCTCAGAAGAAGCGAGTAACGCTGATGTTTACCTTGCGGTTACCAACCCACGTCCTGATACATGCAACCAGGAGCCTTTATAGCTGCTGTTCAATAGGAATAAAAGTACTAAACCTGATTCGCCTCACGCTTCCTCACCCTCGACTGTTTGGTTCTCAGTATTTTTGTAAATAAAGTGTGACTCTTCAAGCCATGTCTGTAGATCTGTTGTCATTCAGAAATCAATAAAGTTCAGTATTTTTAGTCGTGTAATTTTAAAGTCATTTGTTCAGCACTGTGAACCTGGTGTTTAATGATGTAGTCACCACAAGGACTCAAAATCTCTATTTTATACAGAGTTGTGGTATATTTAAGGCAAAAGTATAATAAAAACTATTTAAAAAATTAATAATTTTTAGCTGTAAAATAGACAAATACTACATGAGGATCCCTGCAAAAGGAAACAAAGGTTTTGTACAAAAACACATTAATACAGACGAACAAGATCCGTCAGTTCGTCTCCGTCAGAAAGCTTCTTGTCTCTGGCTGATTAAAGAGTGTCAGATTTATTCATTACTCTTTATTAAAATGTTTTTTTAGAGGCTTGAGTCAAATAGTCTTTCCAAATATTGTCACTCTGAAGAGTCTACACCTGATTGACCTGACAGGAAACAGGTGTGGCTGTTGATCGTGAACACCTGTGTGCAGGTGTGGTCTATAAAACCCAGCAGACTTTGCTGTCTCTGATGAGCTGCCGTCTCATCAGTTTGGTAGCCATGATGATTTAAGTTGGTGTCAGAGTTTTAAACTTTTGAAAGGAGATTTTAAAATGAAGAATCACTCTGGGGCGTTTTGTTTTTGATGCATCCAACACATTAGGCTCATGAAACACCTCAGGTATTTTTTTTATTTTACCAAGTTCACCAGATAGATGACCAAATGTAAGTTGCCTTTTTCCCAGACGACATTTTGCAATGTCACAGGAACAAATGATAAATGATAAAAACTGAATGATAGCTAAGCTGGTTTCAAGATCCAGGTTCCTGCACCGTGAAGCCAGTTCAACTTACTCTGGCTCTGTGGTCCTCTGGCATCACCGCCTGTGATAACAGAGCTGGTTATCAACTGGTTCTGTAAACCCTGGGTTTACCCATCAAGCTGTAAGAGAAGTCATCAGTTGCACAGGATTCTGCTTTCAAAATACAGTCGAGCGATGTTGGAGCTCATATAATAAAATCTGACGAGGTATTTCAGCAGCTGGGACCACAACAACAAAAAGCTGCTTAACCAACGACTACAGGGTCTGAGCAGGAAGAGCTGAAGAATCCTGACAGGTTCATATTGAATGAGTAGGTCAGAGAGTTGTTTAAGGCTTTATATACAAGGTTTAACATTTTTAAATAGTTCTGAAACAAATCAGGAGACCAGGAACAGGTGTGATGTGATCAAAGTGAAAAGGATTCAAAGTCCTTTATGTTGTATGTTCTGTACAGGAAGGGTGAGACATAAAGTCTACTCCCATGATGAGTCAGCTATGTTTTTAGCACTGAGATCAGTTAGTGGTGGTGTTGTATTCTACCGCCCTCATTCGTGGAAATAGGGAGGACACAAACAATTAGAAACCCCTCAGTATAATGTAATCCAGCACAACAACACCCTTAACCATGACTTCATAATACAAAATGTGTAAAATTTACACATCTCCAACAACGTCAATAAAGACTGAACGTTAGAAATTTGGCAGATTTCAGAGCAAAACTTTTTCTTTTTTTTTCTTTTTTTTTTAAAGGTGGATCTTGTGTTTCAGAAACCTGCAGGTCTTCTGTGTGATCACACGATGGAGCTGTTGATCTTTGAGTCTCAGACCACAGAGTCAAACAGTCAGTGAACAGGTGAAACGCTGAATGTTCTGTATTTATTCAGCGTTTTGGGTGAATTATCTAAAAGATAATTGTTTTTATAGACTTGACGTTCCTCTATCACTTCACTTACATTATGAATTCAAATGTGTTTCCTGGTTACAGATGCAAAACTCAAATCATAGACTTCATTTGTGAAGCTGTTCTTAAAAACAAGATATTTAACACATATGGGGGAAAGAAATCTACAAATAATTACACAATCATAATATACTGAAATTATATTGATCTGAAGACTGGCATGAAAATGAAGTATAAAATAAAAAGCCGCTAAAGATCAGTATAAAGTTTGAAAAAAAATCTATCTTTAATAATTTAATGTTTATAAAAACCTGTCGTATGTTTAACTAAAATAAACTTTTTATAGAAATGCTGCTAAATATTAGATATTTCCCTTTAGCTTTTCCCACCAAAAATGTGCTGAAATGACCCTGTGTGTATTGTTTTGGCCTAAATAACATGAATAATAAAATATACATTAAAAATAAAGAAATTAAAGAATCAGTCATGTTCTTTTTTTGTATAAATAAGCAGTTTCATTTATTTGTCATTAGACTGTCACTCAGTTTTCAGATGTATAAATATAAAGTTTAACATTTTTCACAACAAACAAAGCACATACAGACAGAAACATTAAATACATAATTAATACTTTCAGTTGGAACAAATCAGCTCTTATTTACATAATATGTACAGAAACAGAAAAATGGTCCTCCGCTGCAGTGAATGAAAACAACAAATTAAATCTATTTAATTTGACTTGGACAGGAAGGAGGTGTGAACCTACTTCAACCCTGGTGGGGTAAAAAAAAACACTACAATACTCCTGTAAGAAATCTGTCTTAGTTGTATTTTGTTATTTATAAGTAAAGTTTTATACAGAAATCTACAGTTTTGTATCTTATTTTTTCAGGATTATTGTAGTTTTCTTTTCCCTGAGGGAATTGAACAGCTGGGGCTTTTAGGACTTCAGATGGACGAACGTGGAGGAATGTAAATGGATGGTTTTTTTGGCCTCCGTCCTTCAGACTAATACACAGAAAGGAAGAAAAAAATCCATCTGAACGACTCAGCTGAGCCTTAAACTACTTTTCATAACTTAAAACAAAATAAAAATACACAAATACAGCAAGAACTGAACTGATTTCTACTCATCAGTAAACCTGTTATAGAAAAAAAAAACTACATTTCCCAGCAGTCGAGTGGTTCGATCTAAGTTCTAGTCCACTTGTGTTAACAACAGGAAAAGGGAATCTGGGGGTGAAATATGCTGAAAGTATGGAAGATCATTCCTGCCAGGAAAATAAATAAAGTATTGTAAGTTTGGAATAATAATCACTTAATCAATCAAAGTCAAAATTATGGCTTCAGCTACTTGCTGACTGTTCTGTTCATTTTTGTATTTCTGTCCACAAACGTTATTTTATTTTGAAAAAAAAACCCTACGATCTTGACACAATAAAGCATCAGTTTTTGTTATTCCTAATTTTACAGCTATTGGATTAAGACTGAAGTAAGATTTAGGAATAAGGTTTTTGTTTGTTCCAGACCCTTTTCCAGAGCTTTCGACCATGTCTCACGATCTTCATCAGCACATGGAGCATGCTCAGTAACTATAAAATCTATAAAGTGTGACTATAAAATATCAAACTCTCTTTGTTGATGAAAATTTTGAGTTGTGGCTAAAAGCCCTCGAAGCCTTTTTATATAAACTAATATTTCCAAGTTTAAGAATTAACTTTTTTGTTTTTTTTGATTGTTTGTTTTGTGGCAGGAAGGAGATTCCATACTTGAGCTACAGGGAATAAAAACAGATGTGGAAGGATGTTGAAAAAACTGCATTAAAAACTTTACAGCTGCTGCAAACAGGTTGTGAAGACTCAGTTCATCCTAAATAACTTGTAAAAATCATCTGTGTGTGAGTGTGTGTTTATGGTGTGAGAGGATGTGATTGTCCCAGGTGTGTGTGTGTGTGTGTGTGTGTGTGTGTGGGAGCGGGTCTATAGGACTTGGTAGATCAGGTTGGGGTCCTGGCTGGCGGTCGGAGAGGGGACATGGTGGACGGGTCCGGGGGCCGCTGTCTCGCCGGCCGGGTCCGTCGGCGGGGACCCGGAGCCGTCGGCGGGCGGCAGCAGGCTGCTGTTGTCGGTGGAGATCCGCTCCACGATGCTGGAGAGACAGTCCAGACTGGAGACCACCGAGCTCCGGTCACTCTTCAGACCACCTGATGATGCCAAACACAACGGTAATAAATCATGTGTTTGTTTTATTTTGGTTTTCTACATGTTTTTATTGTAATATTTATAAGTTCAACAAAACTGTTCCGAAAAATAAAGAACAGTTCATTTCATGTAATTCACTAACAACATGGACGTTTGTAAAAACAGCAACAAGAACAAAACAACTAAAGATCTTAATTGAATTGAATTGTCAGTTTAATCTTAAGATGATTTAATCATCAAGGTATCACATGTAATTTTCTATCATTACCTTCATATTATTACCTCACAATTATAATATGTTGGTAAAAATATAAATGATCTTTTTTTTCTTTTTTTCTTCTTTTACAGTTTTTTTGTCTCATTAATATATAGACAAATGCCATGATAATAAACTATATACTGTACTACTGGGCTTCTTAAAATGTGTCTTCAATAACATTTATGATGGAAAGAAGTTCAGTTTTATTGTTTCATTGCCTCATTAACTTGATGTTTTTATAACTTCTTCTATTTGCTTTTCTCTGTGAACTCTCTGTTTTATTACCAGAGGTGAATAAAGGGCTTTATTATTTTTAATTAGCAGTCCGTGTGATTGGTCAGTTCCCTGGTTTCTTACCTTTTGGTGTCTGGGAGAAATAAGAGCTGCTTTCATAACTTCCTCTCCTGGTGGACTGACAGGTCGGCCCGTTGAAATCCGTCTGAGGAAAGAGAGAGTTTGATTTAGAAATGAGGTTTTACAACATGTCAGACTGTAATCATATAAACAAATGATTTTATGATCTATTTTAGAGGAAATCTGAGGCCTAAATGTTGCACAACAGAAAAATAAATCCTTTTATCCTTTAAATAAAGAAAATATTAAAAGGTGAAGTGGAGGGAAGAAAAGGTAGAAAAAGCCGCATTAATCTTTGAAATACATTCACAACACACTTTTGACCCTCATACACAAATGATAAATTATGTATGATCATTTATTTTATTATTATTATTTAGACATTTTTTCTTGCGGTTGAATTATTGTTAAATAACGAAAATGACGAAAATAAACGCCTGAGCGAAAAATTACGTTAAATATTTCGTTAAACTAAAATTTGTTTTTCGATCCGTTTCCCGCTTCAAGTCGATTTCAACAACGTTTCTCTGTTTTAAAAATAACGGCGGATTTTTCTCCACGTGAAAAAGAGAAACAGACCTGAGCTCCGATTTTCTCTAACGAAATACAAACATGTGACACAACAAAACTAATGCTGTGAGATGACACTTCATTTTCTGTATTTAAACAGTGAGGGGAAAAAACTAGTGGAAGAAGTTCATGAGCTGGAATGGAGGGAAAATATCTTTCCCTTTCCCTTCTCACATAAAATCACAGATAATTACAGAGTTATATCAAAGTGCAGAAGCTCGTGTGTGTGAAGCTGCTGGTTATTAAATTAAACCTCTGATGTTACACTGAATTTACACCCAGAAAATCTTCACTTTCAACCAAAAGTAGAAAAGTTATGTTGGTAAAAGTCGATTTCTCATGGATCAAAATGACCCGTGGAAATTGTAGAAATGGGAATTTAAAGTTCAGTCACCAGCGACTAAGAGATGAAGACACATTACAACAGATGAAATCTAATAATGAGTGAAGAAATAAACAGTACATTTAAACAAAACCGAGAAAACAAACTAATCCGTGCGTAAAGAGGCGCTGGAGAAACTTTGAGACTCCCCTCTCCCCCTCTCCAACACCTGTCGGTCCCTGAACTCACCATGCCGTCGGAGCAGTTGGAGCGGGGGCTGGAGGCGTCCGAGTCCCCGCTGTAGTGCTCCAGCACCGGGTAGAAGCCGTCGTCCTGCCCGCCGCGCAGCAGCGCCTGCAGGGACTCGATGTAGCTGATGGCGTTGCGCAGGATCTCCACCTTGGGCAGCCGCTGGTTGGGGTTGGCGGTCGTGCAGCGCTTCAGGGTCTCGAAGGCGTCGTTGACCTTGCTGAGCCGCCGGCGCTCCCTCAGCGTGGCCGCCTTCCTCCGGTCCGCGTTGGTGGTCTTCCGCTTGCAGGCCTTGCAGGCCCACAGCAGGCAGCGGCCCGCCTGGTGGTGCCCGCTGGGCGCGCGGACGTGTTCGTCGTCCTCCACCTCGGCGTGGTGGTGGAGGTGCAGGAGGGAGGACGGGGAGGAGGAAGAGGAGGAGGAAGGGGAGGATGAGGTGGAGGAGGAGGAGTCGTCCGGCTTCAGCAGACCCACATGGACCAGCCGCGGGTCCAGGTCCTCGAAGAAGTGCATGTCGCTGGTGTTGAAGCACGGGTCGTCATAGAAATCATCAGCCGCGGGGATGGGGAAAGAGATATCCGACAACTCCATGGTTCAGTCCCCCAACACACCAACGAAGAAGAACAATCCAGTGAAGGAGACAGGGGAGTCTGCAGCCAAAAACAAACCACAGAAGAAGAAGAAGAAGAAGAAGAAGAAGAAGAAGAGAGAGTTTTCTGGGGGAATGTAGAGTCCTGTCACAAACTGTTCTGTCCCTCAGCTGTCGACCTGGAGCTTCTTATACCTGGGACATTAGCGGGGGGCGGGGTCAGGGCAATGAGGTCCTCTGAGGCCTGACCAATCAGAGGGCAGCGGGAGGGGTTTACAACTTCACGGTAATTAGTGTACAATTACCCCTAACAGAGCAGTAAGAGCAGGGTAATATACTGCTGCTCACAGTGGGGGACAAACATGTGGGAGTTTAACACTGACAACAAAGTTATTATTAAAATCACAACAGACTTTTTCTTTCTTCTTTTCTAATAATTTATTTTATTCTTCATAATATTTCAATTTCAATATTTTCTTTCTTTTTTAAAATATTTTAATGCAGTATGTGAAGCACGTTCAGTTGCTTCTGTGTGTGAAATAAACTTCAACTCATTTTAATCTAAAGCAGACTGAGTTTACTCGTGATGAAATGTGGTGAATAAATAAACAATATTCGTTTTTATATGGGAGTGGTTTGAAAAAGAGAATAAATATAAGAGATGTGAATGAATCTGTTCAATCTTCAGCTACAGGCCCAATGAATCTGTACAAATAAAGTCAAACATGTAACTGTAGTGCTACTAAATGATTAAAAATAAAAACTAAAATAACTGGAGGTGTAATAAATAACAGACTTTAATGTTTCGCATTTATAAGTGTATGAATATTATACATACACATTATAATGCAGCTGTAAGCGGATAAACTGTATGTAATCTGTATGTATGTTTATAACATTTGTTATTACTGCTGTATTTTACTAAAACCTGGAGTTGTAGTTGTGATGTGTTTTATAAACCACTGATTAAATATTTATTTATTGCTTATCAATTCTAAACAAGAGGACCTAAAGTTATACATAATAATACATAAAACTAAGAAGAATAACATTTTAGAGGAATTTAAAAAAAAAAAGAAGAAGCAAATTCTTAAAATGAAGCAGAAATATTTTAGATAACGAAATTTCTCACAGCAGGAAAATAAAGTAGTGAAAATCTAATTCAAAGCAGAAAACTGAGGATGGATTTTGTTAAATGTTGTTTTTTGCAAAAACATTGATGATAATTGAAAACACAGTGTTAATCGTGTCTGAGAGGAGTTTTCTGGAGTCGAGCGTGTGATGCAGATGAGCTGTTTTGTGTTGATGATGCAGCGCTGCTTCATTTTTACTGAGACATGTCACATCCAAACTTAGCAGGAATGTCTGCGTCCTCTCCTCACATTTCACATCTTTACAGAGCCAAACACCATTTTAAAGAGTGTTAATACTGCATGAAAGTGTGAACTCAGTAATCAAGTTAAATGTCATTGAGTTTATTTATAGATGAGTGTTTCTGTCAGGAGAGACTCACGACCTCCTCCTCTCTCCTCCTCTCTCCTCCTCTCTCCTCCTCTCAGCTGTCATCACCGCACACAAACACCCACAAACATTTAGATGCAGATTTAGTGATTTTTCACAGAAACCTGCAGCAGAGCTTTCAGATGAGTCGTGCAGCTGCAGCGGCGGCAAGCAGCAGCTGGAGGGCGCTGCAGAGCAGAGCCTGAGACGAGATAACGCCTGCGGTCTTTGCCCTGAGCAGAGTCTCGCAGGCTGTGAACTCACTACCCATCAACCTCTGCCAGTCATGAGTGACAGATGGTTAGAAGCTGGACTCTGTCGATGCTTTAAGTGTCTCAGGAAATATTCAAACCCTGTACTCAAAGGATTATCACTATCACTGCGACATGACTGACAGGTCGTCTACTACAAATCTTCACCTCACACAACGTCTAAATACATTTTACTGCTATTCACATTTTACTGTCATTCATTTTTACTTTCATTGATTCTTAGTTGAGAAATATTTAAGAACATTTCATCTTCTGCAGCCGATAATCAATTAACGTTGATAAAAAATTAATGATTGTATGTAAGTAAATGTATAAAGCTGTTTATATTGTATTGTATTATATGAAAATCTGAAGCTGTACCAGTATGTGACACATATTTAATAATTGTATTGTATTTTAATATTCTGAAAACTCTGGCAAAACATGTTTTTTGTTCATGTCAATAAAGCTATTTGAATTTGAATCAGAGAGACAGAGAGCTGGAGAGGAAAGAAATACTGATTATTTCCAAACATTTTTCCATCTTTATTTGATACCGTCGTGCACAACGAGCCCCAACTTTAGAGAATCGCAAAAACAAATAAACAATCAAACAATTTGGTACAACACCTCAAACAAGAACATGTGATTAAATGCTTCATATACTGTGAGTAATTCAAATAAAATGATTTTCAGAAACAGAAGATGCGGAGTAGCTCTGTACTTGTAACGTATACTTGTATAAAGTTCCCCTTTACAACCGGCTTCATGTAGGAAACATTCATGTTCTTTAAAAATCATTTATCCAGATTAAAACCTCTTTGGTAACGTACAAGATGTTTGAAAGCTGCTCAGGTTGGTCCTCTGTACATGTTCGTCGCTTTAAAAGTTTTGTAGAAAAATATCTTTAAATTCCTCAAATGAAAATATGAAAAATATAGAAATTCAATATGAAAAACTTTACAGGAGCCTTTCTTTTGGAAAATGTTTTTCATTTTCATGTCGTATCTAGTTTGTTGAACAGCTGCAGAAATGAGACATTAGCAGCAGCGTTGGAGCTATCTGTTGGGTTGCCAGATCTGTGCTAAATCCCCTGTTAGATGAACCCAGCTATCTAGCGAGATACAACATGTAAATCCGTTTTGGAGTTGTTTCAAGGTGCATTTTTTTTTCTCATTTAATGGAGCTGCTTTCAGTTAATGTGCTAAACTTGTCTTTCTCTTTCTGAACTGGTTTAATTTGTTTTTATTTATTTTTTTTTATCAAAAACTGGTGGTTCACTCACTGACCCTCCCATTATTCACTTATAAAAGTTATAACGAGGGAGAGGGAAAACACAAACGCAACAGTCATACCATAAGAATGAAACAAAAAGGTCACAACTTTACATTAACTAACAGTTTTGACAGAAACTTAATGATATTTAAATGAAAATATTTCATGACAAACTTTCAATACTGTAAAATATATGGAAATGGTAGGATACATTTTCTATTTTGATGCTATGCTAGCAGTTTCCCCTTGCTTCTATAGTCTGTGTGCTAAGCTACGCTAAACACGTCCTTGATTAAGTCTTATCTTCTCACTTGGTTTAATATTCTTCCACACTGACACCAACAAAAGAGAGGAAAGACATATTATAAACATAAAGGACATGAAGGTGACGACGTAGCCAAGAGTTTTGGCTGTGTTTTGAATTCGAAACTGAACAAACTAATTTAAACAATATAAAGACAGGAGTTGTTTGAGTGCATTTTGTTTCCTCTTTTAATCAAGCTAGGCTAAACAGCTTCTCCCTGCTATCAGTCTCTATGCTAAGCTAGGCTAAACAGCTTCTCCCTGCTATCAGTCTCTGTGCTAAGCTAGGCTAAACACGTCCTGAAGAATGTTTATCTCTTTCTTTATCTGTTTAATTAAACTTCCTGTTTATCGTAAAGTGCTTCTCCATCCACATGGACTTTTCATTTGTAATTATAAAAGAAATGAAACATGTAACATGGCGTGAACAGGTCACAACGTAACAGTGTTTTGAGTGGTAGCTAATTCATGGAGGATAAAATTTTTTTTTTTTTTTCTTAAACACTTTAATTTATATTCTGGACTTCATTCTGGAAAAAGTTAAAGTTTTGTTGTTGATGGAAAAAAACTTTTTATATCTCTTGTAATCGAGCTAGGCTAGCAGCTTCCCTCTGCTTTCAGTCTCTGTGCTAAGCTAGGCTAAACATGTTTGACTCTGGGGAAAATGGCCGACAAGTAAATTTCTCAAAATGTCAAATTTTTATCTTTTACAGAGGAAAATTAACCCTTTATTCCCTGCAGAGAAACGCCAGAAGGAGCATCATAAACCAATAAAGACTTCCTGTTCAGAGAAGCTGACCGATCATCTGCTGAGCTCTTCCTGCAGCTCATTCAGGATGTACTCCCCGAACCGCCCCGTCTGGTCGCTGGTGCAGCCCGTCCGACGGGCGCTGGTGAGCAGGTCTCCCAGCAGCTTGAGGCGGTCCACCCGCGGCGTCAGGAAGTGGCTCTTCACGACGCTGGCGGTGTGCGGGTCTGCGTGCTTGCGGGCCAACTGGCTCAGCTCGACCAGGACGCCGGCCTCCTCCTTCAGCTGGAGCAGCAACAGCTCCAGAGCCGGCAACACGGCGCAGACCGCCTCGCAGCCCGGCTTCTGGAAACCAAAGATTTCACCTGATCTCAGTTGTTTTGTCTTGAACTTTGCACCATTACAACTATAAGTTCAGTCTTTGTGAACTTTGACGGACTAAAGTCACAGAGTCCGAAATAAATAGAGTTAACTTTGTTACATGACACCCACCATTTTTGTGCACAAGCCCAAAAATAATGCGCCCAAAATAAAAAGGTTACTGTTCTTTAACCCTTTTGATTGCAGTCATAACCCTGGTCTCCTCTGAAAGCTTACTCCTTAAATTTTACAACCAACAGGTCAGACTGAGTAGACGAGGCACAACATGGTAGAAATAAAAGTATTTTTTTGCCTCGCCTGATTCTATCAGTATAAAAACTGAATATAAAGCCTGTGGTGGGACGTTTAGTGTGGAAAACACAAGCCACAAGTCTGAACCAGTTCTACATCAACAGCTGTTGCAGTGATATGGGGATAAAATGCTTTACACAGACTGCACAGATAGAAACAGTGAAATTAGAGCTTTCGAACAATGTGTAATTTGTCATGGTTGCGTGTAGACTGCGTCGCATCGGTGGCACGGTGTATTTTAAAAGGTGGTGCAACATCTAATTTTATATGAACTGCTCCACAAGTAGGAAGGAAGGGGTCATTTTGTTTAGTTCTCCCTCCAACCAATCAGTACCATACACGAGCCTCTTCTTTTCTCGTACGACCTCGTTCTCCTGAACCACACTGAAGGACTTCCTGTCGTCTTGAACAGCCAATCATGGGATAGTTAGTCGTCTAGTGCTGCATTAAAAACATTAAAGTCAAAGTTCACGTTGCCAGAACAGTTGACATTCAACCTGATTGGACTCACTTTGAGTTCAGTGTTGATGAATGTCATCATGAGACCTTTTCCTTCATTGTTTTCATCTCCTCGTTATATTTGTAGACATGATGTGGTGATATGTCATCAGTGTGACTCTAAAATAAAATCACCCACAACAGGAAACATGAAACTAAATCAAACCGCAGTGAGCGGTGAAGGACTCAGAGGCGTTGTCTCGTCAAAGGTGAACTGCACTTGAGAGACGGATAACGAGGTGTCCCAAAACGCTGCTGACTGAACTCGGGCCTCGGTCCTGAAACGATTTTACACGACTCATAAACCTGGGGCGGCGGTCGGAGGCCATGCTGCGACGCGCCAGTGCCACCGCCACCGCCGACGAAGCTGACGGCCATCTGGAAACGCCATCAGCGCCACTGTCCCTCTGCCGCAGCATTAATCTTGCCAATTTTCCGGAACATGAGGGGGGGGGAAATGTACACCCTGATGGGCTTATGGCCAGAGCCAGGGGGGGAAAGGTCTCCAGGGGTTTAACCTCCCTCCCTCCCTCTCTTCTCCTCTGGCCTCTTGGTATCTCAACCCACCCCCCCTCACCCCGTCCTCCCTCGGCCTGAATGAAGAGCTCTGCTCCAAAATGAGATCTCAGCCATTGGGGGGGGGGGCGACACAGCGAGATAGAGAGACACCTGCTCTGACAAAATGACGGATAGCACAGGGGGGAGAATAAATCGTCATGATGGGCCGGTTTGGGAGGAACGGGAGGTAAAACGAGAACGCTGTTACACACTGAAGCTCCTCTGTCTCACAGATAAAGTTCAAATCATAAATTTAGTTTCAAAATGGATCCACAAATCAGCTCTTCACACCAGATCATCTAAACGCCCCTCAGGACCGTGAGGATCCAACAACCCCCCTCCAACCCCCCCACCCCCCCTTCCTTCTGCTTAAGTGTCGCTGGGCAACAGATGCTCTTGACCCTGACCTCTGACTGACCTCTGCATGTTTGTAAGGAGCGAAACTAACTACATTTACTCAAATACTTCACTTACACATCTACTTACTGGTTACTTTACTTAGACTTTACACACAAAACATGTGTTTATCTTTAAAATATATCGCGTATTGTTGTAGATTCAACAAAACAACATGAACTCAACAAGTAGTTAAAGCTCCTCCAGTGTAAAGGTCTGTGTCCATGTGTAGTGTGATTATAGATCAGCTCTAGCTTCTATATTAATACTGTGAAAGTATCAAAGCCTCAGTCCACAGAGAAATGCACACAGCCTGTATTCAGAAACTGAGCCTTAAAACCAGCCGTCAGGACTTCTGGAACTTTGTGATGTCACAACAAAGCAGTCACCAAGCCCCGCCCACCTGGACCCACCATCCAAACCTTGCAGGATTTGGTTTGTTTACCTGAACTCTTCTGATTGGCTGACTGTTTTTTTGAGTGATTAGAAGCTTTTGTGACATTTGACCTTGTACAAACAAAACAGAATGAAGACACTAATTTGTACATTTGTACCTGGATGTCTTTGCCGCAGTAGTTGCCCCCCCTCTCGGCCAGGTAGCCCAGCATGGCCTCGGTCTCGTCCTGCTGCTTCAACGCCTCCTGGTGGAAGAAAGAAGCGACGCGAGGCAGAGCGACGTCGTCCCGCTCAAACACACTGGCCTGAAGGAGATAAAACAAACCAATACTCAGAGTGTTTATGTACTCATCTCCAACCTGTCATTTAAACACCCTCATCGTTTCAAAGATGCTCCCTCGTTGTTTTATGAAGCGTTTATAGCTCAAAGGTCCCAATTAACCATGTGTTAACAATGTGCAACCAAATTCAAGTTTGTCTCCTTTTGAATTCTGCATTTCAAGACTGAACACGTCATGTCAGGTGGAGAAGCTGCTGTCAGCCTCCTGCAGCCTGAATCCTGATCTCCTCATATCCCACAATCCCCTGCACACAGTGGGTCATGGCAGCGAAGCCACTACATGGAGGCTGTTACATTCAGTCATGAGCATATTTAACATCATGTGTTCAAGTCAAATGTCACAAGTGAAGTGGATTTATCTTATTATCTGTTTTTTACTCTATTTCTATCTGTCGCTATTTGTCAAGTCTTATACAATTCCTAAAATACCAAAGAATTTATAGCTTATCAATAATTATAATTAGACATGAGGGATTTCTGTGCAATATCCTTTCAATCAATGTCTATGACTGTATGAAAGTGATTAGAGGGAAGGTCAGAAAAGGTCAGGAGGGTCATGTGTTTACAGTATGTTGGTATGTTGTTTGTTTATATTTTATTTCATTCTTCCTTTGTGGGATTTATTGCATTTTTATTAAATCCACAGCTCATGAAAATAAACTTATTTGGGCAATTAGTAAATGACTGTTCCATTCACGTGGTCAGCCAACCAGTTTTATAGTTATATTATATTATTTTGAGATATTGGAGGAAGTCTGTTGTAAGTTTGTCTTTTCTCTGACTTTCTTTGGTAAAAATCCCTCATCTGATGACAAATCAGTGTAAATGTGTTAAAGTTGGATTATAACGTGGTTAAACAGGTAGTTTCTGGTTTGTGATGTCCTTATTAAAATCCTCCCTGACATTCGTACAGTAGCTGATCTCAGTCTCACGCAGCTGACGACATGTTGATGTTGTTGTTGTTGTTTCCTACCAGAGCCTGCAGTCTGTACGCTCCGTCCAACAGCAGGCTGCTCACCCCGCACAGAGCCTCCTCCACGGCGGCCGGCAGGTTGTGCCTGGCCCGGCTGGTGCCCGCGGAGCTCCGGTGCGTCTTGCACAGCGGCAGGCTGCTCTTTAACCTCTTTCCTGCGGGTTCAGCCATGTTGCCACCGCCGCTGATCCCCGACGCGCACAGTCCGGCCTGAGCGCTGACGGAACCACGACCCGCGGAAGTAAAACAAAAAAAAAATCACAGGTGATAAATAAACAACCCGCGAAACAAACTCTTGTAGAGAAAACGCGTCTTCCTCCAGCAGCCGAGCTGAACCTCGACGGAGGATAAATTTAGCCCCCTTGCATCAACCGTTTCCCGGTCAGCTGCTCGAGTTCATCCGGTGCGACTGAGCTCAGAGCTGCACACATGAAAACAGTAAAACTTACATAAGAGAATCACATTAAAGTGAACATGAGTCCAAACTGACTGAGCTCCACAGATGGAGTCAGTCTGATTTAATCTCTGATTAAACATCACGTTTCCTGGTGGAAGTCACTCAGATTTACTTTAAAGTTGTTCAGAGACTTAAAAACATCAGAAAACAGCTTTTAAACAGATATATTTCTGCTGAAGAGCTCAGGTCCTAATGAGATTATAATTAGTGCTTCGTTAAGGACAGGTTGAGGCAAATAGCAGATAACTGCAAATATCAGGAGAAACTATAAGAAATATTAAACTTGGCACAAATCCTCCTTGGGTATTACTCTGTTTGATAAAACATGCACGTGAGCCACTCAAAAATTCAAGATGGCCGCCAATTCTGGCAAGGAAAATTTTTTTTGCAATAAATTCACCCACAGTTTTTCGATAGGAATGATCTAAGTGTCAAATCATATAGTTAGTACACTGTAAAAAATGAAACCTGTGAAAATTTTAACAGTTTTTTACTTACATTTTACAAATTAAAAGTCCTGCTGAATTAGAACAATCACACAGAGGGAGTGGCCAAAAACCTCATCAGCATAGAAATTATTCTTATTATTTAAAATAATATTAATTTGGCATTAAGAATTGTCAACTACCACCAGATGCCCTTCGACTTTTCCCTCTACTCCTTATCACCTGACTTTCCTCACTCACCTGCACACCTGTTCTCACCTCCCTGTTAGTCTGACAGTATTTATACCCGCCCAGGTTCACCTGTCTGCCTCTGCCAAATTGTCAATGTGCAACTTTATTGTGGTTCATTAGTCTCTAACTGACCTGCCTGAACCCGTTCCTGTCCCTGTTCTCTGCTGCACTTCCTGGTACCTGTGTTTGGGACTAATGCTAATGTTAGCATTTAGCTCAAAGCACTACTGTGCCTCAGGACACCCTCACTGAGCTGTTAGCATCAGAAAGTTACAAGGAGCACAAACTTGTAATTCAGCATGTGTCAACACCTTGAATAAAAATGCAGCCTGCTACGGAAACACCAGAGGGCCAAATTTAAAAAGAACCATTCCTTATATTTATTTATTTATTTATTTATTGCAGATCAGCCAAAATCAATATCTGTATGGGATAATCAGCACTGGACTGCAGCTAGATTTTTATTGGATTAATGAGGCTCAATTTCTCTGTTTAACTGAAAATAAACTTAAATTTTCTTGTATTTAAAAATTGCATCAGAAATAAAAAATAGTTAGGAAATAGTGAGATTTATTATAAAGCTATTTATGTAAATGTGACACTTTATCATGATTGATTTTAGGATCAGCTGATCATCATTGGTTGCTTCTTCTCAGTTGACCCCCCTGGTTCTCCCTCCTCTCCTGTTTCAGTCCAGCTCCTGGATGAGTGACGGGAGGGGCTGGCTGCTCCCCGGGGGTCAGCTGGTCCCCCCCCCCAGACACCTCAGTAATCACCTGGGCCGGACCTGGCTGTAACAGATTACAGACACGCTGCAGGAGGTCGGTCAGCTTCCACCAGGTGATGCTGCGCCGCAGGAGGGCCGACAGAGGGCCGACAGGGGGCCGGACACTGCGGCACATCCATCTGTGCTGCTGCTCTGCTCCTCACTGCTGCTGTCACTGAGGATCCACCCTGAAGGGTTTCTGCAGAGCCATGATGGGGAGGCAGACACCTACTCAGACCACAGAGTCCTCTACATCGAACAGTAAAACTCACTGCGCCTCAATCACCAATATCTTCTTCGGTATTTTCTTAAATTCTTTCTTAAGTTGTTCTTAAGAAAACTCTACGTCAGATTCATGAACGTGTTCTTAAACCGCAGAATTGTGCGCACGTGTGTTCTTCGACTGAAACCGTAAATTGAAAGCGTGTGGAACAGAGGTTATCACCACGACGACGGCAGCCTTTGTAGCAGATCACTGAGAATAAATCAGATTGATCATGTGACGGTGCTGTGGTGAAGTTTGGGGTCGGTCTAGGGAAAGATCATGGGTTGGGTTTAAAAATTTTTTTTTTTAAAAAAGCCTATTTTGTCGAGGTGAGTGGATGTTTGTCGTCATGGTTACAGTAATAAACAGTGGTTAAGGTTATGAAACGACAGATTGGAAGCAGGAAACAAACAGTCGACCTCCTCCTGACACCAACGTTTGTATTTCTCAGTGTGGTACAGAAGAAGTATCATTTGTATCGATGAAGAAAATCAGGTGTCGTAAAAGTGATGTCAGTTCACTCATTCATCAGATTAAACGGCCAATCAGGGACGGTTGCTGATGACGACCATGTCTCTAAATCCAGATTATTTCCACTGAGCGATGAACCTTTCCCTGAGTGAACTGTCTCTGAGTTTATGATCTTCTTCTGCTCTGACTCTTCTCCCACAGCTGAGCTTCAGATGACAGGACTCTGTGATTCACGGTCCTGTGGAGCTCTGCCATTGTTACAACCCCCCAGTCTTACCCTGTGATACACACACACATACACACAGACAGTGTGTGTGTGTGTGTGTGTGTGTGTGTGTGTGTGTGTGTGTGTGTGTGTGTGTGTGTTGGACGCTGCAGCTGTCAACAGACACTCGGAGCTTCCCCTCAGACACTGTTGTTGTTGTCTGGATGATACAACCTCACCTCAGTTATCATGAATTAAAATGAAAAACAGTGATGTAATCCTTCACCTCCACTGCTTCATGATCACGATCGCATCACCGATCATGAGGACAGTTTTGTGTTTAATTAATGTTAGTCAGTTGTTACCGGGGCAACTTCTATTTTTCCTTCGGTCCACATTTATATCATTACGCTACAGACGATTACCGGGGGAGAACAGCTGGACTCTGCCCAGATGTGGAAGTATACGGGCCAGATTCGGGCCGAGGAGCCAGGCGTATGTTGGGCCTGAAGTGTCATTTTGCTCGGAGCCTAGAAACAGTCTGAGGAAAAACTCACCGTGAAACAGCAAATAGTTGTTTTTACAGTTGCTCTATGCTAAGCTAAGCTAAAACACTGTTAGCTCTAGATTCATATTTAACATACAGACGTGAGAGTGGAGCTGATCTTCTCTTCTAACTTTCAGTCAATATGAATAATGATGATGTTCAACAGTAAAAACATCCTGCCTTTCTTCTGTAGAATTAGACGGTTGTATAAGATCCATAATGCATCAGGTATCCAATATTTTCTTATAAGACAAAAGGTCATGAATTAAGATTTATGCGAAGTAGGATACTGTACTGTAAATACGTCGTCATTAAAGAGCATAGATAAAATATTCTTATGTACATGATGCATTAAAATCTCACATTAAAGATGCAAACACAGTAAAGTAATAACACACAAACTAAATAAGTTTACATAAACACACGGGTTCCTGTATGGTGTCATCACATGTTCTCATTTATTTACCATTTTTATTCGTCAATCAATCGTATCAATAAAAATAAATAAGATTTTAAATAACATAAAAAAAGATAAATAAAAAGATGTCTTGTCATAAAATATTTTACAGAGCAGAGATAAATACAGATAAACACAAGATGATAACAAGACAGGAGGCACACACACACACACACACACACACACACACACACACACACACACACACACACACACACAAAGCACTTAATAAACCCAAAATGTGCAGACTGACAGGAGAGGTGTCGGCCTTCACACCTGCTGCCTGCTGTAAACCACCAACACCACAACGACCACATTGTCCTGCACTGGTGGCAGACTACTTTACATATACACACACACACACACACACACACACACACACACACACACACACACACAGGGTGTACTAGCTCGGAGGAGCAGATTTACTGCTGTGCAGCCGGTCGTGTGGTTTGTTGTGTTTGAGTTCAGATTGAACAAACGGATTCTATGACGGGACAATTTGTATTTTTCTTTTCTTTTATCTATTGAAATGTTACTGAGAACAAAGACTTCAAGTTGACGTGATTCGCGCAGTTTGACATCAGACAAAACACAAAATAAAACACAATAAAAAAAAGCAGATAGAGAGTAATATGTCCTCTAAAAGTGATGGATTTTTCCACTTCTGTTGGACATAGACTAGCAGTTTCCATCTGCTTCCAGTCTTTATGCTAAGCTAGGCTAAACATGTCCTCAACCTGCCTCTGTAGGAGACTGATGATTTATTTTCACCTCATTATTCAGTTCAACGACTCGTCGCGTTAAAGCTGCAGTTACTATTTTGTGAACATTTGTGACTGAACTTGTTAACAAACAGTTGCTAATTTCCACATCCAGCTGTTACCAAGCAACAGTATCATTAGAGGTCAAAATTTTACACTTCTTCTGTGTTTTATTTAAAGTGTTGATCCATCAGAAGATATAAAAACCATCTTAGTGTAGTTTTACATCTCCTCTCTCAGGCTTCTCTCTGGAGCTCTAGCACGCAGAGAAACCAAATCCTGCAAGGTTTGGATTGTGGGTCCAGGTGGGCGGGGCTTGGTGACTGCTTTGTTGTGACATCACAAAGTTCCAGAAGTCCTGACGGCTGGTTTTAAGGCTCAGTTTCTGAATACAGGCTGTGTGCATTTCTCTGCGGACTGAGGCTTTGATACTTTCACAGTATTAATATAGAAGCTAGAGCTGATCTATAATCACACTACACATGGACACAGACCTTTACACTGGATGGAGCTTTAATTTAATTAATTTAATTTCACCTGATGAATCTTAGTCTTATATTCCCTCTCTTTCTATTATTATTTCCTATGTTCAGGACAGTGGCATTTTACAGCTGTTTCTCTGAAAACATCTGGATTATGGTGGGAGGGAGTGAAAGCAAATAGATAAACAATGAGCTAAATTTCACAATAAAACACCAAACGTATGACCACAGATCACAGATTAAGTCCAGATCACTATAAAACCTGATCAGTGAACGCCTGCA